CAATTTATTAACACTAGAAGCTTTTAATTATTCCTCAACATATTTATAAAAGATCTCAGTTCATCTAAAATATTACTAATTATTATCGTTCAAGATCTTGAATCGTTACAAAATCCGAAAGCCTCCGATTATATCTCGCATGTAAAATGGCATTTAGTTTTTTTTTAACGCTCCCCGGTGGTGTGGGTATTTATTTTATTGAAATAAATTAACACCGAACGTCCAGGGTCTTCGTTGCAGCAATCCGAAAACGCCATGAATATTAATGGCCGTCAAACTGGTGAACTTTTATTAACGGCCGATTATTCTTTATCCGTTCGCCTTTTTTCGCCTCCCCTGATATTTGCATAAGGTAATCTATGGCTGGACAGCGGGGTAATGTATATGATCATTGCGCTTTATTAACTACTAAAGAAGAAGAGGAAGTATAGGGAGAAGAAAAAAGGAGCCTCAACTCAATCATTCGAAGTATTTGTGTCTGGTTGTTCTTTGGTTCGTACGTCATCGACTTGATTTGTCTTTTCTACGACCACACAACCGGCTCAAACCAATTATGTTAGAAGACGGTCTTTCGCATAAAAACTTGGGTTGGGATCTATTCTTATGCTGTAGTTTGTACCATCCTTATAAACGGTCAACATTGTTTCACATGTACATCTAATAAACTACTACCTACGCTTAGATTTTTGAAAAATTCCTTCTGGTCCTTTAATTTTCTGCTGCAAGATCCATTCCAATTAAAAATTCCTGGTACGCATCTTCTCCTAGTGTCGCAGGATTGTAAACGTGTGCCACCCGGTATAAAAGCGGCATCATAATACACCACATGATTATGAACTGCAACTGTACGTAATAATATCCTTTGATGACAACAAAGCAAGTTCCTGTCCTTTCGCCAATATGATTTACGCACCCCACTGACACTATTAAATACCCAGTCTTTGAAGATCTATATCAATTTGGGTGCGTATCACATCACAAACTGTATAATTATTATAAAATCACAATTCCCAAAAATAAAATATGCCAAACTTTCATCTTTATATGAAGGAAATCTCTTTTATGTTATATACAATGAAAATACTTGGATACGATATAAAAACGCCCGACGAGGATTATGATTATAGCCAGGCAATCTAGTTATGATTTATGTGCTGGTTTTGAATGTCGCCTCCGGTCATAAGATAGGACGTTTATTGGACATTATGGAAATCGTTTGTTGCATGGGCGGAATGTCCGAACAATAATATCAAAATGTATCAACATTTCATTATTCTACCAACGATGAGAGCAAATTATAATGCAGGGATTTAAATGTTACTGGTTATGAACTCTCATATAAATCAAATTGTGATCTGGAAATTATAACACAAACATTTTCAACTTGTGTTAAGTTGAACTTAATTTTATTAAGAAAAAAATATGGAAATTTCCTCTCTATCACGTACAAAAATTCTCCCCTGACAAATCTTCTACGACCAATAAGGTATATTGAATATAAATCCCGGAAAATCTTGACTGAAGGAAACCGTCTTTTTATAGATTCAAGTCACAGAGAGAGATGCTAAAGTTGTTTTCACCACTTGAATTCGGTTTGTCAAAAAAATTTACGTCTTTTCGTATTTCTTTCTTTTTTTCCTCCCTTATATATCTTCTGATAGTAACAGTGCCGAACTAAGTCTCTACGAGATTAAGAAGGCAATCCTCTAGATAATACCGATTGAAAATGAACTCATTAATTTCTTAAAAGGGTAAATGAGCTGTACCCTGCGGAAATGTTGGCTATATAAATTATAAATAATTGAAACTGTTTCTCTATTAAAAAATTTCTAGAGAAAAGATAATATAAAATAGGCATAAACTTTGAGCATAAATTAGAGAGGTAGATGGAAATACTATTTTAATAACCTCCACTCCAGGGAATAGCTGAATATAACGTTACTTTAAATTAAAGTCGTAGGTCACTATTGGTTCTGAAACCTATAAAGTTTTGAGATTTTTTTTTTTCAAACGAAAAAGTTTGTAAATTAAATGACGTCTACATTATTGTCCTAAAGCCTCACATTTTCATGTGAGCCACGAATCGAAAATAACACAGCAATTAAGCTGAAAAAGAACCTTCATATCATGATAGTCATTACCTCCAAATCCATGCATCTTGCATACCAAACATCCTCTTAATTTAAAAAAATAATAGTAAACGTTCATTTAATATGCCTTGGCTATACGTTGAAAGCATCGCCGTGCGTGTCTATGAATATTTCATCCCACAACATGAAAGTCTTTTTGGCATAATATGAATCCTGAGGATCACGTCTCTGCCGCTCTCCCTCTCTCTCTCTCTCTTTCTTTTGCCATCTAAAGCTCATTACACGTCATCCCAGTTTTAAAATAAAATAACGTTCAATGAAGTTTCGAATAACAGGATCAGACTCGGGAAGCTTAACTTGGCTTTTATGTTTGAGCTTCTCATTACCCAAAATGTCGCTTTTTATTATAGGGGCCAAATTAAAAATCGGGAACTAGGATTTCGAATCGGGATTTGAGAGAAGATGAATGTGTTTCTGTCGATTCTTTGGTTGCATGGAAAACGCAATAATTTCTGTGCGGAATCATTTTATTATCATCATTTTCTGGTGTGTTTTACAATTATTATTCTAAAACATTTTTTTTCTGCAAATATTCCATCTTCAAAGTGCAGGGTCTGTGAAGGTCCCACTTACTTATACTTATAAACTTATAAATTTTCAGAAATGCCTTTCGGTTTAAAGAATGCACCATCAACTTTCCAAAAAGTTATGACTGATGTTTTTTGGCTAATTTTGTAAATGTATACTCAGCAACAGTCAGTATCATAGATTTATTACTCTTTTACAATTGCCTAGGTTTCGAAGCCTTTCGCTTCTTCTTCAGGGCTATAATAATATAATATAAAATAAATAAAAAATGAATATAATATAAATTAGAAATTAAATAAAAATTTTATAAACTTTTTAAAACATACCTTGTAGTGAGTCTATCGATTTCTCTGTTTTTTTTTTAAGTTTTTTCATTTATGATATGATATAGATTTTTATAAATAATTTAATATAAATGTATAATGAAAATTATTTCAAAAAATGTAAAATATGGTATAATTTTTTTTGAAAATTTTGATTTGTGTTTGATAGACTTGACCGGTATTGATTAATATACATTGGGAAGTTTTTTTGTATGGTTTTTTTGAAGCGAAAGGCTTCGAAAGCTAGGCAATTGTAAAAGAGTAATAAATCTATGATACTGACTGTTTCCAAGTTATTCGAACCATATCAATTATTAACGGTCGTGATCCATAAAATAAAATACTCAGCAACATTATTTCCTCAAATTAAGATCATCTAGTTCACCTTGAACGGATTTTAAAAAAATTAACTGGTATGTAAATAAGACTGAGAGAATATAGTTTTATTCCGGTGGGATTCCGGAAATCAGCCTCGCATTATTTGCAATGCTAGATAGAAATTCCGATAATGAAAATATTAATAAATGAGTGCGAAACATTGTCAATAGTTTGAATATATTGATTAAGAAATTAAACATATTGAACAGCAGAAATAACTAGTCGGCCCTTACTATCCAATATTATTGTGCAAGGATAATGAACCAAAAGATTCTCCTTCAAAAAATGCAAAAAATTATGGAGGAAAACAAAGATATGATGATTACGAGACTACCTCGACCAATCCAATGAGGTTTGATCATGGACTTTATCAAACCATAGTGGATATACTCAGAAACAAGATCGGATTAAAGACAAGTACTTAAACTAAAAAAATTATGACAATATATCTATTTGAGTCTCGATTCTTCCACCCTCCCAAATTGGAAAAATCCTTACCCAACTCTCCATCCACTACCCAAACCTTTCGTCTTCTCTCACTCCTATCCAGAAAATGTCCAGAATCCCACACCGATTATCTAGTCACCGTCAAAAGTTCTAGAAAAGCCAAACGTCGATGGAAAGCCTAAACAATAGCAAACATAACTAAAATTATGGTAATCCATAGGTTTGAAAAACCACTCAGTCTTATGTGACCCAAGTATATGGCAGGAAGGAACACCTCACATAATAATAAGAGGCCTGGTCTGGTATCCGCTCCAAAACAGCTGATGGAGCTGGCGCTGGCTTACCTATATATGGAGAAAGAGCAAGATCAGATAAAAGCATTTCTCTGGGGCTTAACGCCACATTTTACCAGGCAGAAATTGATGCAATCCAAGCATGCGCACAGGAGATTCTAAGGCTGGGTTATAACAACCAGAATATAAGCATTCTCTCAGACAGTCAGGTTGCTTTGAAAGCACTGAACTCACATCGATTATTTTCAAAGATAACGAGGGAATGCCTGCACGATCTTATAGCTTTGCCGTCAAGGAATAATAGGATAAAGCTCCTGTGGGTTCTTGGGCATTCAGGGATAGAAGGAAACGCAAATGCTGATGAACTGGCCTGAAAAGACAGAGCCGTACCCTACACAAGACCAAAACCCGCATCTGGGATATCGAAGCAGGTTTTAAAGACGACAGTTGAAAGGTGGTCGACCCATTAACACCTCGACTTTCAGCTGTCTATACCTGGAGCAAGACACTCGAAGGGGATAATTACTAATTAGTAACCCCGAAAAGAGGCTAACAGCTGAAGTACTGTCGCTAACGTGTACTCAGATAAGACGGGTGGTAGGACTACTAACAGAAGAGTGCCATCTTAGAGCGCAAATTGCAGAAAATGGGATTCTACAATGACTCAACGAAGTGTAGACTGTGTGATGAGAAGGAAGAAACCAAACCAACCAACCAACCATGACCAAAAAGTTTCAAAAACGTCCTCAAAAATCATATTAAAACGACATGCACCAGCAATTGCTGGTAGCCGACGCAAAACTAGTCTCAGCCATCAAATAAAAGTACAGTCTGCAGCGCTGTTCAAGAATTAATGAGATGCATCCGCTCCCAAGAAAGAAATGACCATCATCGTTTTGGACTTGGCCCATTCTTTGTCCAGATACAAATTGACATTTTCACTGGACAAGGTTGACACTATGATAGTCCAAGCTGTCTCTCTATTGGGCGATTTGGATAAGGAATTGGACAATTACACAATGAGATGTAGAGAATGGTACGGATGGCTTTCTCCAGAATTGGGCAAAATCGTCGCTGGGCTCATGCGAAGACTGTTAAAGTTATTGGAACAAAAAAAATATGCAGATGGTTCGGTTTTATCTGATCTTCTACCTGAAGACATAGTAGAAGACAAATGGGAAAAAGCGGCAGAAACTTCAATGGGCACCGAAATATCTGAATAAGACATCCAAAATATCATTAATCTTCATGATCAAATTGTCGACATGACAATAAGACAACAATTGCATGATTATTTGAAAAATAGAATGGTGGCGATGGCTCCTAAATGGTTTTGGTTGGAGATCTTGTTGCGGCCAGGCTTCTTATTGCACACACTGGATTCCTAATAAATCTGGCCAAGCATCCAACTTGGAAGGTGCAAATTTTGGGTGGAGAAAATAGTACATTAAAATACAAGTTTCATAAGACGTCATTTTATCGCACGAGCCCTATATTAGAAAACGAGCCGGAGGCGAGTTTTCCAAAGGGCGAGTGCGATAAAATGTCTTATGAAACGACTATTTTATACTATTTTTTCTATTTTGGTATTGTTTAATTAAAAAAAACAAATTTTTCTTGGAATTTTTTTTCTCATATTTCCTGATTTCATATGTTTAGGTTGGTAACACTACATGCCAAATATAGAAATCTTCTATTATCCGTGCGTTCGTTATTTTGGTCTGAGTTCTCCGAGCATGACTTTACCGTTCGTTTATTCAAAAAGTGTACTCGGTGCAGCCTCATTCGCGTTCGTTTATTAAAATTTCTGGCACTTTTATATAGCGTTCAACTGCTCTGTTCCCTCGCTGGTCACGTGATTACGGCTCCGCTCAGCACGCTCTGCTCTTCGAGCAAAATACCGAACGCAAGGTATAAAATCGCGAATGACAGTTCGATGGCCATCAGTCAGCCAGTGTTACCAACCTCCGATAAGTAAAAAAGGAGTGTCACAAGGAGCTTCTTTTCGAAACTACTTTTAGTGTCGAAAAGACTTCGATATGACACCAAAATAGAAAAAAAAAATTAGGGCCTTGAAAACTTTCGAAGGTGATTTTACAAGAATTTTATGATTATCTCTAGTATTAACAAGTAAGGAAAATCGTTACTTTAGTTGTGAGTTTCATATCAACTCCCAACTTGTTGTGTATCATGAAAAAACTCTAACTAATAAATCCTGGAAGTTTCAAGTTGCTGGAATGGCTCAGAGTATTTTTCAGGAACCTTCAAAGGTGATTTTATAGAAATTTAATGATTTCTCTAGTGAGTAAGAAAAGTCGTAACTTCAGTTGTGAGTTTCATATCAACTTCCAACTTGTTTTGTATCATGAAAAAGCTCTTATTAATAAATCTTGAAAGTTTCAAATTGCTGGAATAGCTCAGAGTATTTTTCAGGAACCTTCAAAGGTAATTTTACAAGAATTTTATGATTTTTTCAGGTATCAATGAATAAAAAAGTTCATAACTCTGGTTGTGAGTTTCATATTAATTTCCAACTTGTTCTGTATCATGAAAAAGCTATATTTAATAAATCTTGAACGTTTCAAATTGCTAGGATGACTCGAAGTATTTTTCAGGAACTTTCAATGGTGATTTTATAGGAATTTTGTGATTTTCTCTAGTATTAATGAGTAAGAAAAATCGTAACTTGAGTTGTGAGTTTCATATCACCTTCCAACTTATTATGTATCATGGAAAAACTCTAATTTATAAATCCTGAAAGTTCCAAGTTGCTGGGATGGCTCAAAGTATTTTTCAGGAACCTTCAAAGGTGATTTCACAAGAATTTTATGATTTTTTCAGGTATTAATGAATAAAAAGTTCATAACTCTGGTTGTGAGTTTCATATCAACTTCCAACTTGTTCTGTATCATGAAAAAGCTATAATTAATGAATCCTGAACGTTTCAAATTGCTGGGATGACTCGAAGTATTTTTCAGGAACTTTCAATGGTGATTTTATAGGAATTTTGTGATTTTCTCTAGTATTAATGAGTAAGAAAAGTCGTAACTTTAGTTCTGAGTTTCATATCACCTTCCAACTTGTTGCGTATCATGGAAAAACTCTAATTTATAAATCCTGAAAGTTTCAAGTTGCTGGGATGGCTCAAAGTATTTTTCAGGAACCTTCAAAGGTAATTTTACAAGAATTTTATGATTTTTTCAGGAATTAATGAATAAAAAAGTTCATAACTCTGGTTGTGAGTTTCATATTAATTTCCAACTTGTTCTGTATCATGAAAAAGCTATATTTAATAAATCTTGAACGTTTCAAATTGCTAGGATGACTCGAAGTATTTTTCAGGAACTTTCAATGGTGATTTTATAGGAATTTTGTGATTTTCTCTAGTATCAATGAGTAAGAAAAATCCTAATTCTAGTTGTGAGTTTTATATCATCTTCCAACTTGTTGTGTATTATGAAAAAACTCTAGGTAATAAATCCTGAAAGTTTCAAGTTGGTGGGATGGCTTAAAGTATTTTTCGGGAAACTTTAAAGGTGATTTTACAAGAATTTTATGATTTTTTCAGGTATTAACGAATAAAAAAATTCATAACTTTATTTGTGAATTTCATATCAATTTCCAACTTGTTCTGTATCATAAAAAAGCTCTGATTAATGAATCCTGAAAGTTACAAATTGCTGAGATGGCTCAAAGTATTTTTCAGGAACCTTCAAAGTTGATTTTACAGGAATTTTATGATTTTCTCAAGTATTAATGAGTAAGAAAAATCGTAACTTTAGTTGTGAGTTTCATATCAACCTCCAACTTATTGTGTATCATGAAAAAACTCTAATTATTAAATCCTGAAAGTTTCAAGTTGGTGTAATTGCTCAAAGCATTTTTCAGGAACGTCCAAAGGTGATTTCACAAAAATTGATGATGATTTTTTCAGGTATTAATGAATAAAAAAAACTCATAACCAGTTGTGAGTTTCATATCAACTTCCAACTTGTTCTCTATCATGAAAAAGCACTATCTAATCAATAGATTCTGAAAGTTTCGAATTGCTGGAATGGCTCAGAGTATTTTTCAGGAACCTTCAAATGCGATTTTACAGGAATTTTATGATTTTCTCACGTATTAACGAATAAAAAAAACTCGTAACTCTGGTTGTGAGTTTCATATCAACTTTTAATTTGTTCTGTATCATGAAAATGCTCTAATTAATGAATCCTGAAAGTTTCAAATTGCTGGAATGGCTCATAGTATTTTTCAGAAATCTTCAAAGGTGATATTACAGGAATTTTAGGATTTTCCCAAGTACTTATTTATGAGTAAAAGAATCCGTAACTTCAGTTGTGAGTTCCATATCAACTTCAAATATGTTTTGTATCATGAAAAAACTGCAATTAATAAACCGTGAGAGTTTCAAATTGCTGAGATGGCTCAAACTATTTTTCACGAACCTTCAATGGTGATTTTACAAGAATTTCATGATTTTTTCAGGTATTAATGAGTTAAAAAGTCCGTAACTTTGGTTGTGACATTTTTTAAAGAAAAAATCTTGCAATAATGAGATCAAATTTTGATCATTACCGGCTCTTGATTCTCTCCAATTATAATTACCTAATATTTTGAATGGTCTTGGAAAAATAATTCAGCAATTCAAGGGACCAGTAAAAATCAAAATTTCAATTTTTACAGGCTCTTGATTTGCCGAACAACTTTTTTAGAGCTGGTAATGATCAAAGTTTGGACTTATAACTGGTAAAATGCAATAGAGTCATTTATCTCAAAAAGTTTTCGAGATGTTGAGCCTCAAAGTTGACTCTTAAATACGGTTTGATTTACCACGCTCAATTAGTCGATCAGAGTAGCACCAAAAGCAAAGGAAAAATATCTAGAATGCTGGGTAGATACTTTAGGTGAGGATGTTGCTTTTAATTTAGGTGTTGAGCATAGGGCTAGATATTCAAGGCTTTTCCAATAGAAATGCATGCATCATTATTCTAAACATCAAGAAAGTTTACCTCGAGCTCATCTAGGTCTATGCAACGAAATCAGCAATAATAACGAGGATTTTTAGAAATTTTCTTTGAAAAGCCATTACCACTTATTGGGCTCTTTTTTTTTAATTTCAAGTCATTATGGGCAACTTCCAATACAGAGCAATGAGAGAGGAGGGAGACTCTATATTATGAAGACATCGAACAATCAAATCTGTATTATTAACAGTTTCTTTGAGAAACGTCTCAACAGTAAATGGATCTGCATATCACCAGTTGGTATAACAGAAAATGGAATGGACTACTCCCTTTGTAGATGTAGATCAATCTTTGCAGATGTCTCAATTATTAACAGGCTCGCCACAGGCAGTGCGTGAAATCAAACTCGGAAAGAAGTTTGAAAAAATAAAGTTGTTCGACAAAAGGCTGAGGTTTGACTCCCCTTCAATTGAAAGTATGCGGAGAAGAAAAAGGAATGGAAGAAGAATCGGAGTAGAATACAATGGAGGGTGTATTCAAGAAACAAGACTAGTGTAGACATGTGAATATAAATGGCATCATCTACTGTTCGCAGATGACATCATATTCATTTCCAACGGTTTAAGGATAGCATGATGAACAGGTTTTGAAGCGCTTTCATGGAGAACCAGAAGTTAGAAGATTCTAATTTATTTGAGAAGCAGGAGTTCTCAGCCAGTGTGTATATTACTCTTAATGAAATATGGTTGTCAGTCCAAGAAGCGGATAATGCCAAATAATGCTGAACATAAGACACTCCGACAAAAAAAGGGTTAGCATCAAAAGCTCACTCATCAAAAATGAAGTTTCTCAGGACACATTGCAAGACAGGATGGAACTTTACAATAGAGATAATATGCCTGACACCACAGATGACTCGACTACTTCAAACTACATTGCAGAATCACTTTTCTATTAAAAAACTTGTGTGATACCTATTTATGAAATTTGTGTTCTCTTTCTTCTTAAATTACTGTTTCTCATTTTTAGGTTGAGACACTAAGCAACTTCATACCCTAATCAAAGAAAATAAACAAACAGACACAATTCCGATTGTTTTAATTCCAACCTAATTTATAGTAGATCAATCTTTTGGGGCTTCTTAATTTCTCTTGTTCGTTTCAACAAAGATTTTGATCAGAACATTTTTAAGACGCCTAATTAACCCATTCTAACGAGATAACGCTGCCCACTTACAGCTTACGAAGCTGACTTTA